CGCTTGATGATGCCAGTCTTTGAACCGTGAGATAATTGCAACACGGGGTGTTGTTCCGTAGTTTTGTTCCTGCGGCTGGATTTGAGAATCTGGGGGTTGGCAGCTTGGCTCGTTGAGGCTTCGGCTCATCTGAGTAGATCAGAAACCTTTGCCTTAGAGCCACTTGTTATCCTTGGCCCTATGCCTATGCCTTTGCAGCGCAGGGCCTGGCGGCGCCAACAGTAGACCTCCGGCTTGTCGAAGGGTAAACCCTTTCCTTGGGCCCTTTTTCATGCAAGCCGTAAGAAGGATCTGTGTCGGAGCTCGAATAGTGGCCAGTTACCTAGAATCCGAAACCAATGAGTGTCAAGGTTGGCCGTAGCTCTGCTTGGAGAAATGGAGGACGGATCCGGCTTGAAGGGTTTGGTCTTCGAGCTTCGGGGCCGTGCACACAACCTTGCGGAAGAAGTTGTCGTGATATCGAAAACCATTGTGAAATCATCAGAAGACCATCAAATCAGCTGCATGTCTAAGCCCTTATTATGATAATGGCCGTGTGACACTCTTATAAGCCTTGACCTGGGCCGTAGCAAATGCCACGCGAGCGAAATCCGGCTGACTCAAAGACAGAGCACCTCCCAAGTGTTTTCTCCTGGCACGATGCCCCTACTTAACCTCCGCATGTATGGTTGGAACCCTGAGTTTTTATGTTCACTTTTTAGGATTGTTCCTGCTATCCGGGCCTGTCGTTTGTTCCACCCCTGGGCCATTCAGTCGTACACGAGCGGCTTCTTTTGTAACCCCTTTCCAAGCTTTGTTTGGGTGCCAGTGGTGCGGAAGCTCAAGCTGACGGGAAATTTTCGTGGCACGCTGTGTTTTCCAAGCACTGTGTTGACAAAGCCGGCAATCCCAGAAAAAAAGGTTATTCCAGTTGGTCTGGCCATGTCAAGAATCTTCCAACTTCTGTCCACTTGAACGTGCTATACTCATACAAATCTTATATCGCTTCGAAGATGTCGCTCAGAGCTGTCTTCGCCTTGAAAAAGACCTGTGCCTGCCAACGCGTGTGGAAACTCTCCCCCAGACTGTGCCCCGAACCCAGTCTCCCGGTAGGTGTCGGTTACGATTGCCCGAAAGCCAGCGAGCATAGTGAACCAGCGGCTGGTCACCTCAAAATTCCACACCGGCTGCCCGACGTGCATCTGCTTCCGAATGCCAGAAACCGGCACTGAGTGAATTTGACGTCTTTTTCAGGTATCTCGCGGTTGTCTTGCTGACGGTCTCCAACCACGAAACGACTAGCGGCTGGCTGCCACCCGCCGCAACCACCATGACCGTCGGCAAGAGCGACTGAACGGTATGACTTTTCCCAGCAACCCGTGCTGGAGCTACTAGGCTGTCGACTGCGGCCGTCTTGTGAAACGGCTTAGGCCTGTGCAATGTAAGGACCGCACGTAGCGACCCACAGACGAAGCAGAGAGCAGGGACGGCATCACCGGTTGCTGGCAAATTGTACTTGTTCGCAGCAAGGCTGCGAACTCATGACGGTGCAATCGTTGATATTTCGCACGGCACCAAGCAGCTGCATGAAGCGAGGCATCGCAAGAACACTGAAAAAGTTGAATCAGACGCATGACTCGAGCTGAAAGCACAGTTTTAGCAAGTCGACAGACAACATAGAAGGTGATGTATAGCGCGCTGCAGCTGCAGATGCTTCGTTCTCTAACCCCATTTAAACAGCTGCTATCAGATGCTAGTTTGTTTTGCTAACAGCAGCCCGGCATCAAGAGGACGAGCGCAGAAACGCCGGCAGTTGCCGCTCGCTGCTAAATGAAGGTAGACGAGGGAACGCATGACATGAAGAGACACGAAAAGAGACGAAAGCCAACGTGTAGGCTGAAAAGAGATATGGTTGGAAAACTCGCCAAACCAAAAGAGAAGGGGAACATGATTTCCCCTCGGCGTGGCTGACTGACTCGCTGGCCGGCTGGCAGAGGCCGCGGGGTCACAGGACGGCGTGCTGCGTCATCGACAGCCACAACCTATGCGGGATCATAGAAGTCCAGGAGGCGGCAACGCTTGGGGTCCAGAAAGCTTTGATGCGGGCAAAAACAAAGGATCATGCAGCAGCGCCAGGGCAGCACCAACCAGAACGCGAAACCACCATTCGAGTTGCCCGCCCGTCTGCTCCAACCCGGCCGCAGCCAAAAGAAATGGGAAGGGAAAGGCCAAGCCAACAAACAAGTCGGGAAGGCATGAAGCGCTCACGCTGTCGGGGGCCAGGAAAGACCGCTAAACACCTGGGGGCTGGAAAAAGCTTGCGAGGGTGAAAAGCTTCGGCCTGAAAATACTCCCAAGGTATGCCCAGTATATGCCAGTATGGCATCATTGTAGACTCTACTAGGCCCTACTACGTTGCTATGCAGTCTCCGTGCGCAAATCTGGTCGCGGGCTTCCGGCATGGCGTCATGAGCATAAGCTGTTGCTCTAAACAGCATCGGAAATGGGGAAGGCAGTTCCTCAATGCATCTAGGCAGGACTATTCTGTCTGTGCACACAGGATGAAGGTGGAACGTTTGGATTGCTTGCCTTTCTGTTTCACCGGCCCAGGAGGCCGTTGTCGTGCCTAGTGCTTTGGCGGCCAGTGCGGCGCTGAGCGCTGCCGAGACATCCAGCGCGTGGCAGGCTTCGGTGCTTGCAGTAGTCTTGCAGTGTGAGCTATACTTCTGTAAGCTAGTTGATACCGTTAAAGCATCAGAAAATCATGGCATGGTGAATCAAGCCCACGGTGGTATGCATGTTTAGCATGCATAGTGGTATAGTCACGTGATTTTTTTCGTTATTATTATTATCATGAAAATAGCTGTATTTCATCGTATGCTTCTTGTTTCAGGTACGTAGTTCATGAGCCCGTGTTCCAACTCCCTACATTACACTAAACTCGCATTCCGATTGTCGAGTCTTTGGGGAAGGCTTGCCTGGTGCTGTTGGAAGCCCTTCCGCATTGGCGGCTGCCAGTGACGGCCTTGCAGGCTGCATCAGCAGCGAATGTGCCTAGGCTGAGCAGTTTTTAAGTTCGGGCGTAGCACCTGGGCAGAGCATCTCGACGAGACATTGACTTTAGGATGTAAGTCCCTCAGGGACTTGGATTTCGCTTCCAGTCGTAAGCCTTCATTACTCACCGCCCTTCGAGCTCTCCGAAACCCCAAAGAGGTGAAGGCCGTTTGCGCCCCCGCCTCAGACACTTCTAAGTTTGAAGCCGAAGCTTTCGTACATCTGCATCATAAAAACGGACACACAGGCCTACACTGTTCGTCTGTGGTGCTTTCTATTCGCAAGCCTCTAGAAGGCAGGATTGGCGACGCAGACCCGATTTGACCCTTCCTGGCTACCACGAGCACAAAAGTCAAAGTACCGAGAGCACCTCAGGTTCTGGAGCTTTAAATGCCCGACGGTTATGGACTCACTCAATACTGCACTCTCTGTGTTTGGATAGCCCGAGGCTCTGCGTGTACGGCAGGGTAGCGAGGACGCATGGCGATTGCTGGAAGGAATACGGTTCCTTGACTCAGACTTGACTCGGTTCATTTTGTGTCGTCGTCGTCGTCGTCGTCGTGGTTGTTGGTGTTGGTGTTGGTGTTGGTGTTGGTGTTGGTGTTGTGGTGGTGGTGGTGGTGGTGGTGGTTGCGGTTGTCGTTGTCGCTGTCGCTGTCGCTGTCGTTGTCGCTGCTGCTGCTGCTGTTGTTGTTGTTGCGTGTCTTTTCGGAGGCTTGTCAAAACAGCTGGTGATTACAGGCTTCTCCTGCTCGGACGAGAAACCAGTTCAGGTGCCGCACATATCAGTTCACGTGTTGTTACAGGTAGTTTGCTTGACATCTACGACTTCGAACACAATATTTGGTGAGACAAGGGTTTCTCCTGTCACGTTCGATCGGCAGTTGAGCTGGAGGATTTTATCCTCGGCATCGTGGCAGCCTCGACCGTCATTGCCGCATGATCGCAACCACCGCAGCCAGGGAGTTTTCGGAACGTTTGTAGGGATGCCGGGGTACCGCCGAAAGGGTGGAGAGCAGCATCCATTCAGGAAGAGCACATGTGGGAAGAACGTTCCCTGCTAGTAGTCTGCTAGTCAGATGCTGCGACGACCGAATGAAAAAAGCTGGATCTTACCGAAGCCCTTGACCAGAAGCTTGCAGTCCCGAGTTGCAAGGTAATGATGGCTGGGGCATATGGATTCTTTCGCATCTTGGCCCATGAGAACAAAGACCAGCAGAAGGCTGATTTCCACCGCCGGCAGCATTTCTACGATTACGATGATGGATAGCCAAGAGCGGCAACCCCAATAACATTTCAACTCGACCACAGCTTTTCAATGCAACATCATGTTGCAGCTGTCATGCCAGCGCCGTAGCAGATGAACTGCACCACGAGCTGGCATTGTTGCGCGTACTATCAATGCTGGTGAAATTGATCCTGCCACCTCCTATCCATTTCTACGTCCTCTCCTACATGTACCTACGACTCGTGCAACGACTGCTATCACCATCATCAGCGAGAGGGCTCCAGTCGATGTACTCGTCATGGACCACAGTACAGACAGTACCCGAGCGTTTCAGAGTTTCGTTCTCCGACACCCCCTCAGCAATGCCACACATTGCCTGCGACCCAGGAAGCTGGCGTCAGTACCGAGACTCACCTGGTAACCATCACACAGCAACAGGCCCTTTGCGCTTCATGTTGAAAGCTGCCAGAAGAGACTTTCGAAATCCTTAAGTACATGTTTCATGGTGTTTCTATTCCTGCATGATGCTGCGTGTTGCAGTAAATCTTGCCTTCAGGGCCCAAAATGGGGTGGCTTCCAGGTCAGATTTGTAGTCGAGCATCAGTATCTACACAGCCCTGCATTGGTAATTCTAGTCGGTCTCTTGCGATGCAACAATGCTAGACACGACCGGCACGCGACGACCCCAAACTTGCTCAACGCCAGCTGTCGGACCAGAAGCCAGTCACGCAACTTCCAGGAGCTTGGGCATTGAAATGGATCGGACCACACGTTCAGGCGGGCGGGCGGCAAATTCTGGGGCCTAGGGTGAGTGGAGGCTTGGAGCCACACTTGAGGCTGTGGAGATGTAATCACACTCGCCGCTCTGAAATCAGGCTCGGCTGAAATTGGCACGCACCGGCTACGAGAAGTGCGCCCTGAAGAGGCCGTGGTACGGTTGATGATATACATCCTGCATTACCTTAAGGACACTAAACTATGGGAATTATGGTATATTCCATATTTTTGGTAATGCAGGATTTATATCATCCTAGAAGCTGTGCGACTCGCAGCTGTGCGCATTTCGAGAGTTGGACCCTTGGATGTAGCTGAGGAAGGAAGGCACAGTGCTCAGATAGTCTGAAAAGCTTGGCACCAGAATCCCATAGCAGTCCAAACTGCAGCTCTTTCGCATTGAGCATGGCAGCCCCGGCAGTAGCCCGAAAGTCCGAGAGCATCAGCTTGGCAGTAACAAGAGTCTTAGGGAAGCTTCTTGTGTACGTACTTTTGTGCACAAGCTGTACTTGAGCACTGCTAGCTTTTCTTCGTCGCCAAACTGCCGCCAAACCTGTTGTAGCGAGATTCAGCGGCAGGCGCTGGATCGTGAATGCTACGCCTTATGACATCTCGTTTAGCCAGTCGTACTCGCGCCTTGGCTGACTTGCTGGAATGAGATTCTGGCATGCAGCTCCAGGCCAGCATGATCTTAGCCTAGACCTGTCGCCGTCGACTTGAGTGAGAACAGTTGATATATACTACCGGACCAGCGTAATGCCGAGTTCCTGCCAGACCAGTGCTCGACTGTGCACGGATGCAGTCACTCCAGGTTGGCGACGAAGCGCATCAAGCTTGACTCGTATACCTTCGGACAGATTTTCCACTGTGTCAGCGAGCAAGTTGTGCTTGAGATCGAGAAGCCAGGTCTCTCGGCCTTTGCAAAGCGAAATATTTCTGAGTTTGGCTCAGGTTCGGTCATGTCCCACGTATTTCCGTTGCCCAGTTGCGCCACCTGCACTAGCAGGTTCCCCTCCTGCCGTTTGGAATCTCGAGGAAGAGGCAGAGCCTGTCTCTGTCTGTGTGTGTGTGTGTGTGTTGCTTTGGGATTTTGTTGTCCACGTTGGTGCGTTTGGGCTTTAAGCCAAAGCCACAAGAAATGCATTGCCTTCCCGATTGAACTTGGCCCAGACAGTAACGATCACCGTCACGACCTCGGATTGGATCAGGATGGCACCCGAGTGACTTGGCTGTCGCTTTTTCTTATCACCAAGTGTCACTCAACACGTACCGTGGTGAAACTAAACAGGCAGAGCTCTCGCTTGGTCAGGGCTCCTTCAGCATCCTTCAGCAATGTTGAGCCTCGAAAAGTCGGAAAGTGTGAGGGCGACTTTAGCAGGCATGTCAGGATTTGCTCACTTCCGAAGCTGAGGGGAGCCATCGCCTACGATGGGCCTTGTGTCCGAAAACACTTGGGTGACTGCGCAGCATGAGGACAGCAGAATCAACATGATCGCTAGATTCCATGCAAAGGCGAAACTGCATTCGGGGACTGCGCATCGGTGATTGGGGAAGTTGGAGATCCCTTCACATCACTGCGGAATTCAGATAGTAGCAAAGCCACCACAACAAGATACAACAAGGGCTCCACGCCCGAACTCGCTTGGAAATCAGCAGCCAGGTCAAGCTTGTGGTGCTTATCGACTTGACATATTCAGCTCATCGTCAGGTGTTTGCGGGTGATTCTCTAGAGAGCCGCATGCTCGGAGCCTTGCGAAACTCGTGGAGTGTTGTATTAAGTAGCAAAGCACACCTTCTGGTGGTGCTACGGCACCGCTTTAAACAGCGTGCTGCGAATAAGAATCATATGGAATTCGTCGGTAGTTCACTAGATCCTTCTCCGGCATTTAAAATCTATTCGGATTTACTCTCCCATTGTCGAGCCTGAATAAACACAATCGGATCGAAGCAATCCGGACTATGCCTGCCAAGGCCCAGACATGGGTCACATTCGCTTGGCAGCGCTGGGGCACGGCAAGGGGAGACAGCAGCTTGGCCCAGAACATGTTCCGAAAGTTTCTTTCGCAGGCTCCCTGGCAGAGGGAGTCGCGGGGGCACCCATCTTTGCCACAACATGTGTGCCGGAGACAGGTGCTTGGTTCTTTGCTGGTCCCCTCCTCACATCTTGCGTGGAGTGCCAATGCTGGAGTCCCGGCAGATTCTTGGGGTGGCATGTGATGCCACATGTATCACTACAGGGGGCCTAGGATCAAGAGATTTGGCTTGACACATCACAGGTTGACTCCGGGCTGTCCTGACCAAGGAACTGGCGCGTTTCTTCCGGCGGGTAGTGACACATCCACGCCTGCGAGATCACTGGCAGGCTGGCTCTTCAGTTCCCGACGGTATGAAGCGAAGATCTTCTCAAGTTCGTTTGGAAGAGACCGAAGCTGTGCTGCTCCGAAACTCGGATCGGGGTTTGCACTTGCGGCTTCAGGGTTGGAGTTGCGCTTTGAGTCCTTTGCAGCGGCGGGGTTTGCACGACAGTATTTCATCGCCGCTAGCAGCAACACACATGGTTGACAACTAGACTCATGATAAGTCCCTCTTGCGTGCGATTCAAAGAAGTCCCTTCTTCCATGCGACTGTGCCGGTTGGACAGGAAGATGAAGTGACCGACGACACAAGCTGGCAAGACGCGCGAGGGCCAGGGCCACTGATGGCCGTCCTGACTCGAGGACGCGGCTTCAAGCTGCGCGTCCAAGAGTTTCTGCAAAGGTGCCCTGTGAATTTGACCACAACACGACACTGCCATATGAACACCGCTGGGTTACTTTGGGTTCTACACTGTGAGCTCGCCCTTGCCTTAGTTCCCTCCCGCGCAAGCCGACAGGATCCACGAAAGCAACGAAGAATGCTGAGCATGCATCGTCCCTGCACAACAGCAGTGCGAACATGTCCCTTGGCTTAGCATCGCAAGGGAATGCAACACGATGGGTGCTACATGCACGTAGCTTCCAACACTCTACAGGGTTTTTAGCTTGGCTGCATCAAGACACAGCTGTTTGTCGTGTGAACTCCGTTCCTTACTCAACATCTTGAAGTTGACGTGGGAGTATTTCTCCAAGTTATTTGCTTCGATATGCGTTTTGGCTGGTGCTCCGCAATTGCAGACCCGCGACATGGACGATGACAAAGCAAGAGAGCTAACCGAGTGCTCCGAGAGCGCAGTGTTCGGGAATTTATCCAGAAAGTGCTGGGACATGGGAATGTAGAAAGAAGATGAAAGAACCTAAGAAGCTGGCTGTGCAGAGCGTTCCCTTTGAGTTGGTTGCCTTTCCTGCCGGCTGTCTCGCTGGCACGCTGGCACGGAGCCTGAGCTCCGGCGTCTGGGGTGCAGCCTGGTTGTGGAGGGTCTGCTGGAGCCGGGCTAAAGAGCTTCAAGTGCCGAAATGCGGTCGAGACCTTGAAGGAGTCGCAGGCTGTGTGCCGCTGCTTGGCGCAAGCTGGCGAGTTGGGCCGGATCATGCAGCCTCGCTTCGTGCTTGCCGACAGGGCGGATGGAGTTCGCAATAGTTCGCACTGCTCAACACTTGGTGCCTCCTGAACCATTGGCTCGGCTGATTGTGCCCGGGTTCCACGACCGAGCCGACCTGGAGGGGGGAACTGAGACGTGACAGCCTGGCCGGCATTTGGATTGTCCCAACAGCTGGCACGTCGGCTGGAGCAGTCGCCTGTGGAACTTGCGGTCCTGTGACAGGAGTTTACTTTTAAGGGTGACGAGTTTGTGTTTTGAGACCGGCACCGTTGCCAAAACGTTTTCCCTGGCATCCCGCTCCTCGAGGCCAACTACCGCCGCATACCGGAGCCGCGCTTCTCATCGGAGTACCGGGTCAGTACTCTACAAGTGGAGAAGGCACTTATATAGACGAACGATTGGCAGGCCGAATCAGCATGAGGAGTTTTCCCCGAGAGGTCTGATGTGCTGATCACCTTCTGTGAGCCTGCGGGCGGGTGAGCTGTAAAGCGATGTGCCGTTTGCCCTGAGTTTTTACGCAACAATAGTGTAAACGCTTCGCGTCGTCCGCTTCCGCCTGCCGCAAACAAAGAGGGCCGACGAATTGCTCAGCCGTTTCTTTAAAACTGTAAGGGGTTCATTGGCCTATGCCCAGAGGAAGAACAGAGAGTGAAACCAAAGCAGCAAAATAAGTATAAACATCTCCTCTACAGGATATTGCGCTCGGTTGCTGTGCTTACCAGCTTTACATGGAATCGGGCTGTCAGGTATAACGCTCTGACACATGCAACTGCTCCGCATTAAAATGGCATCGTGGGTGCTGTTGTTCAAGCTTTCTTGTGAGACTCCGGCGGCTGCCCCAACTGTCACTTGCACGGCACCCGTGAGGTGGTAGTTCCTGAGTCTTCGGTCTACGACTCTTCGTATGCTGAGATTCACACAAAGTATGGTGCAGCAGCTTGGCTGAGGGAGGAGACATGTCTCTCGTACTAGTAGAGGCCAGGTGGGCAAGGTGGTCAACATCCGACAGGTTACGTTCAATTCCAGGCTGTACCCCACCTGAGCTATCAATTTGGCCGCATGAGCCTATGCAGTCGCAGTGGGGAGCGGTTGGCTGTGCCGAAGGCAAATCTCTTCGTGTCGCACGTGTGGGCTGAGACCGCGCAGAATTCCTTGGAGGTGCCGCCAAAACGAGGAAAGAGTTATCGCCAAGCGTGCCATGCTTGGTTGTCAGACATTGTTCCTTTGAGGCCGTGCGCCGCCTCTACCGGTTTGCCACCCGACGTGTTTGTACTTTCAGAGCACTGCTCCGTGCCTCGGGGTTCCGTTGACTTTCGCTGCTGCAGCAGTCCGGCGGGCTAGCTTTAGCAGTTTAGCAGTCCAGCAAGGCGCAAGTGCTGCCGCTGCTGTTACGTACATTGTCAAACCCAAGGTTGACCAATGCCCTGACCTGTCGTCTCAGGTTAGGGAAAATCAGCTGAAGCCACAGCAGGTGCGAGGATGGCGGCTTGACGCAATAGATACGCCTTGGGCAGGATAACGCATCGCTTGTTTCAAGAAGTAATGCAACTCTCGGAGGTTCTGCACTGTGTGCAACAACCAGAGCCGGGTGATCGAGGCCTCAGGGAAAAGCCCAAGATTGATCGACCTAAGCATTGTCCACTCTAAGGGCATGTCCACAGGCGACATCTCAGAAGAACACAAGTTCATGCCACGACAGCCCGAGTGCATTGTCGAAGCAGCCTGCACACGCCAACAGATAGATAGATATATGTATGTATATATATATATGTATGTATACATGTACCGTTGGTCAGGAACTGGGCTCCGAGGTTCGAAAGTCTCCATTCTACCAGGCAGGCAGCCAGCTTCTGTGTCCCGCGTTGTGGTGAAATTGTTTAGCTCTGCCAACGATATTCCGGGCGTCGGAGGCACGTCACTCAGGGTGGCGACTGTTGCTTTTCAAGGTCCTCGATCCTGTGCTTTTCAAGTTGTACGGAGATGCTCCATCATTGATGGTCGATACTGCTAACGGTGTACTTCCCACCTTTATTCTTGGAGCCCTGCTTGTGGTGTTAAATGAACTCTTCTTGCGGCGCGGCCGAGAAGGTTCTGCAATCCAAGAGCATCGAGCAGGCCTTGGCCGATGCTTCACCATGCACATGGGTTCTCTGTCGAAGTTGCTCAGACCTCCGCCGTAGCGGGCTCTCTCCAATCTCAGTGGGCAGCGGCAGATTGAACATGAATCATCGCCAATCGTCAAGTCATTGTTCACCGTGTGCCTGCGCACTTGTCAGGTGGCGCTGGTTTCTCCTCTGAAGGCCCTGAACCGATCCCTGGTACAGAAGTGAAGGGGTTGCAGCGTAGCTCATGACATTCATGATCATGGAGGTGAGGCATCGGGATCACCAGGACATACGCTTCAATAGAGGGAACGCAGAGGTCATTGGAATACAGGAAGTGGCATCCGAGGAAAGTGGTGCAACTTCGAGTTCTCGCTGGCCATCCATAGCGACAAGCCCGTTTGGATGGCTGCTCGTCCATTTCGTTTGGCAGACAGACGAGATAAGTGCGGGCAAGCACGGCACGTAGTATATTGTGGGGCAGCAACGCCGGGAAGGGAAGCGCGTCGCGGTAGACGGGGCTCGCTGCCTCAGGTCACCAGCGACGGTGTGGTGCAAGCTGGTGACGTGCCACCCAAGGCGCGGTTTCCATCCGAAAGAATTTTATGCATCGATAGAGCCAGGGAGACAGCGGCAGAGAGAGAGACGTCACCGAAGTAAGGGAGAGGCCCGAGCTTTGCTGTGTGAGAAAGACAGCACCCGGGCGCAGCAGAGCGGTGAGTCGGGCTTGCAGAGCGCATCCCTTGTTGCACGAAAACATAGACAGTCAGGGAGAGAGAGGGGTGGGGGGATCTTCCCCTCGCCCCTAGCCCTGGCGAAAGAAGAGAGAGAGTCAGAGACCGCGAGAACAGGGCGCTCGCGCGCGGGGAACTGCCCTCTCTTGGCTGTGTGGAAGCAGAGAGAAGAGAGGGAGAGAGATAGAGAGAGGTGTGTGTGTGTGTTGCATGCCGGCGCAGTCCCTAACCTCATGCTCTAATTCAGTTTACAACGGACCATGAAACCGGTAAGGAAGTTCCCTTGCTCCTTGGGCTGTGCGGAAGAATAGAGACAGATGGAGAGAGACAGGCAAGTTTTTCTCGCGATGCAGACCCCAGTCATTCGGACGAGGTGTCCTGTGCCAACATAATGTGGATGGACCCAAGATGTGTGAACAGCACTTGGGGCATCGCATCGGATCGTACCTCGAGTTAGGGGCCAACGTTGTTGTTTCCCGGTATGTTGCCGCTGGGGGCGTAGCCATCCTCGCGAAGCAGCCTGGTTCGTGCGAAAGTCGCAAACCTGCCCGAGTCCCGGCAGACCCTCCAACAGGGAAGACTGTAGCTGCGCCTTCTCGGGCAGAGCCCCAGGGGAATCCCCAAGAACCCTTGCCCCATGCCTGATAGAGACAGACAGAGGGGCGAGAGCGAGTTTTCGGACCAGGCCACAATGACTCTCCTGAATAGCTGTATCTGGGGGAACCGTTATTGACCCGATTGCAGCTTCCTTGTTGCTCATGGTCATGGTTTAGAAGGGTTGTCTTGGGGGATGGCTTTCCTAGCTCAATCGGGGAACACGTGCTTTTCCTCATCCCCGGAAGGGGCTTCGCATGGCTTCAAAGACCTTGTGAATCGTGAACTGTTGGGGGTAAGAGAGACTGAGAGAGAGTATACCTTTGGGCCCCCTTTTGGTATGTTATTGTAGTCCTTCATGCTGTATTGCTGCTGATTGCTCTCCTCTTATGGCCAGGGCTGTACGCTGAAGTTCCCTCCTTCCTCTCGTTCCGCACCAGACTCTCAGAAAGGAGTGCGCGGGAGGGGGGGCGACCCTCAAGCCCTCAGAAAGAAAAGAGAGAGCGAGAGAGGGCCTTTTATTCGGCCGGAGCCTCAGCACTTGCCAGTTGTGTGTTGTTTGCGGACATGCAGTTGCCACACCCCAACCAAAACGGGGGGATACAACACTCAAACCACTGCCGGGGGAGAAACTTAGGTTGGTGTATCCCAGCCTTTGATGTTTGTTTTGGACAGCAACGGCAGTGGGGAGGGGAGACCTTGTTCTCAGTACAGGAGAGCTCCTCATTACACAGTAATGGGGGGTGAGAAGACACCTGTGGACTGCAGGTGCGCGCACGCGCGCGGAGGGTTGGGGCCGGACGCACCCCAGCTCCCCCCACCTGGTAGAGAGAGAGAGAGAGAGGAGTCCACCTGTCAACATGATGGATGGGTAGCGACTCGTTCGCGGGGCATCGGGACTGCCCATGCCTTTGACCCTAGCAAAGCAAAGCAAAGCAAAGCAAAGAGGAGTTCGCACATCCCCTATGATTCCACACGATCTGCCAACAAAATGTGCGCTCTGCCCTCCTTAATTACCAGCCTTGAAAGAGAAAGTATGAAAGCCTTGCCAAGCCAGCTGGGCAAGTGTTCGTATGAGGAGACAAAATGCTCCTCCCAACAGTTGTCCAACACTACCCCGAAGCCAGGGATGGCGTGAGGTGTTGTGTTTTGTGGTATATGCCTCACTGCCAGAGGGAGCAGATGGAAAACACACAGCCTGGCGTAGCTCGATTTTGCGAAGGTCAGTGTGCCTGAGAAAATACCAAATTCAATACCAAATTCAGCGCACGTAAAGGCAATCAGACTGTGCAGGCCACGGCTTCGCAAGAGCTGGAATTCAAATGCTCTGGGGAAGATGTTGAGAAGAAGTGAACTAACGGAACCGCGAGGAGTTCTGAACATTTCTGAACCGACTGGGGGCCTGCCAGCTGCTAGTGATATGTTCTGTTGTGGTGTAGTCTTGCTTATTGGATGCGAGCTGATTGATTTAGGACTTGTCTTTGTTCCCGAAAGCATGCTTGCACTTCGCACATAGCGAACGATACAACACATGCCCTACGTTGCCTGCGTACACTGACTGATGCCACGTTGCCAAGTTCCTAATAATATGTAATCAAATTCCGAATATTGCAATAGCAGCCTAAATAACTCCTATTTTGCTTTAATCTATTTTATAGGTTTGGCGCACCTTAGCGCGATGAACCTTCTGCAGGGATCCTTCGTGTCGCGGCACTGGCGCTGTGGTGCGATGAACATTTCTCTACGTGGCCGATGAACCCTTTACAGGGATATAAGCTCTGCGAAGGGTTCTTTTGAGAACAAAAAACCTTGTCTGCTTACACTACACTACACACCTGTACAACGCGTTGAAAATACATAACTACGGACATACACCACACACTTGTTTGCTTCACTTACTTGCCTGCTTGCACTGCTTGCACTGCTTACACTACTTGCACTACTTGCACTCGGCACTTGTCGGCCTACACTTAAACTCCCAACATGTTGGCAAATATACATGCCACGCAAAAATTGCTCTGCTTGCTTTCGGGATAATCGCCGTCTAGTGCTGTACATACCGAGACATTTGCAATCAGGCACCTTCCAAATGGCAGTTGAGAACGCGCGGTTGTATCCATCCACCCTACGGCCGTAAGGCTTCCCGCCCAGGCAACTTAATGGTTCAGTTGTCCTGGTCTGTGGTGAACTAGTACTACAACTGAGTTGTTTAGTTTTAGCTAAGAATGATTCCTGAACTGTATTATAATTATGACGAGGTTCGCTTTGGGTGTTTTTGATGATAGGGGCGCATAATTGAGGCCATATCTGCCTCTCCACTGTACCTCGCCTCCCGAACGGCTGCGAATGGGTGGGAAAGGGCAAGACAGAGCTTGATGCCTAGATGAGCTAAAGAACACTCAAGGGTGGAGCGCGGACGGACTTGTTTGTGGGGGAGGGAGCGTTCCGCTTCCTATCCCCGAGCCCCCCGACAGACGGAAAGTTCCAGTGCACGAGTGCATGATGCGATTCAAAAAACCCTGTAACAGATCTTACTATATCTTGCCTGTGCAATTACAATAGCATAGACCGGTTGAACTACTTTTTGGCAGAAGCGAAATGTCAACTTCAGTGCAATGGGCCAACCACAGCTTTGCGCAGGCCCTGCGACAGATCGCCGAAGCTGCCGGAGCCTTCAGATGTGTGAGGCCATGAGGCATGTCAATGATTTTGGTGTATCGAGATTACCACTTGCCAGGCGGCGCAACCGGTAGTATAGGCATATGCACGCCGTGCAAGAGCAATGCCCAGGAGACCCCGTATGATGCTTATATGTCTTCTCTGAAGCAGGAAATTCGAAACCGAAAGTCTCTGCAGCTCAGTGCTGCTCCGCTGGCGGTTTCTTGTGCCCTCGCATGCCTTCGCCATGGTTTCAAGTGAAGGTACTGGGAGCAAGTGCATGCAGGGATGTCGTTCAGGGCCACCGAAAGTCCCGAGGGGGAACATCTTCTTGGGACCCAGGTCCTCAGCTTCCGCTGCCAGGTTGGCCGGGTTCTGGGATCAGCATGGGCGGAAGCTGAGTGAGCGAAGACATGCAGCCATAGCCATAGCAGCCGGGTGCAACTGCTCGACTTCGGATTTCCCTACTGTAGGCACTGTAGTCCGTAAGGAGGCAGACAGTGGTGGTATGACCTCGCATCCTCAGTACGCTGTTGACATGTGCTTTCGGATTTGTTTCGAAGGATTGACTGCCCATCTCACATGCCCTCAAACGGCAGAGTGGCCAGCAAGAAGGAGTCGAGGTGTTCAACAGCAGCGGACGAAGCAATGATTGATGCAGCTGTAGCAGGCCTAAGGGAGGGGGGTGAAGGGCCGCGATGCTTCAGAAGTGTTGTTGTGGCAGATTTTGCGAGAGGCTTCAGGACATGAATTCTGCTGATCTGTCGTTGTTAGGAGGGTAGCGGTGCAGCGAGCAGAGGGAAGCATGGCACGAGTCAAATATTGCATTCTGCAAGCCAGAAACTGGATGAAGAGGGTGCATAATGAGTCTTGCAAACACCAGACACACTCTTGTTTCTGCTTGCTGTGCAGAAATGGGGGGCTATGACCGGCTGGACAGCAAGCTGAAAGCTCCTGTGGCTGCTATATGGAAATTGCTGAAGAGTCTTCCGTTTGCTGTGAGATTTCGTGTGCCCAAGTATGGCACCATGTTATGTCTGGACTGGTTCCCAGTACCGCAAGGGGTCCTTCGGGTGGTCGCCCCATGGGAGGGAGCTTCTCCACGATGTTTTCCTTCCATCTGATCTCTGTTCTGTCGGCGTTTGCGTTTGTCCAGTGAGCGAGGCAGTCTTCCGGTCCGCTATAGAGGTGGCACACAGTCAATTAAGCGAGGCTGGGAAGGGCTAGTGGACGCCATATAGTGTGTCCGTGCGCCTTTGACTACTGTTGCTATCTCGCGTTGTCCAATCTAGAAAAATGCAGTGTGCCTTTGTAACTCGTTGAGAATCTTGCACGCTTTAAGAAACTTGCATGTCAAAGGAAAGCGCACGCTTTCTGCTGTTGGCAGTTGCAGCGCATTCACAGCCTCCTGCATCCTGGAAGTGATTTGCAAACCCCAGCCGTGGAGTATAGAGCTGACGTGTCTGGCAGGCTTTCGAGATGGTGAAGCTTGAGGATACGTCAATCGTGAGCTTGAATCTCTGTGGTGCAGATGAGGTGGCGAAGATCGCCGCCTCATATACCTCCTCTCGAACTTTGCGCGTGTAGATCTGCCCGCGCTGGTTTTAAAATTAAAGTGCACCCCTCAAGCATCAAAGATGTCTTGGGCACTTGGAGGGCACTTGGAAAAATGAGTCTTCGGCCGCAGGGCCAGTGGCAGATCATGGTGCGCCCGCTTCAATACCGCCTGGATAGCTGGACAGGCCTAAGATCGATTTTCTTGAAGTTCAATTCGCAGCGTCGGGGCAAGTGTCGGCTGCATGCTCACGGGCGCCACAAGGGCCACAGGAAAACGCCAAGCTACGGTGGTCAAGTGTCGAGACTCGGTCAGGATGCAAGGTGTCCTCGAACTCTGAACCCAGGCAAGCCTGGACACTGCCTGCTGCTGGATAAGCCTCTGTTTCGCCGGAACACAGACGTCAGAGAGTTCGTCAACATGCGCAGGTTCTTGTCAGAGGACGGCGTCCGTGTTTTGAAATGATGTCCACTCGGGATTGAATTCCTCCTGACGGACAGGGGCTGAAATTTTCAGATCCCAGAGGAGCGCAAAGCGTTCTGTGAGGCGTACAGACGGCCCATGGTTTGCACACACACCCTGGCGATTGAATAGTGGCTTCGGCTCACTGCTGGCAAGACCTCCACGATGAAGCGCCGACAGGTCGGGTGTGCAAATGACGACCTGGCAACACTTGTGTGCAAGCAACCCTGCACCATGGCGAACATCACATGTGGCTGCAAAGCAGCACGCTGTCTGGTCTTTTACATGAGGTTGCTTGGAATTTTTGTAGGGCGGGCTGGAGTGGCTACAGTGCCCCGCATCTCATCGCCCATGTGCTGCGTGTTGATGGAGTCCCCGACAGGACTCTGCACACGCCCAGTTTTTGGCTTCTAGAAGATCTCATCTTCTCTGAACAGGCTGCATGATCCTTAGTCAGTGCTGCAGCGCCTGTGAGGCAAAGCCTAGGCGAAAGCACACAGCTGACATGCAGCAGTCGTGTGAAACCCACCGGCCAATCATATTGCTGTCCAAACAAACAAAGATGACTTTCAGCAGCCAAGCATACATGGCATGATGCTGTTTCGGGACCACATGATGCGTGAACCTCTACTCCGCAATCTCCAGCGCAGGTGCAACTCTGCCAACACCACCTCAAGGTCTTGTCCGGAGTGCGGACAGCTCTCGCCGCACCTCACGCAGCTTGGCTTTGCTGCTCCGACTTCGGGTGCGCGGAGACTTGCCAATCTTCGCCATGTGTTTCCAGCCTGCGGCATCAACCCAACGCGGCCCGATTGCTCAGGCGCTACATCCGATGCGCTCGAGGCTCAGAGCGAAACTCAGGGCCTCCGGCCTAGCAGATCTACCAGATCCGCAATGGCAGAAAGATGTCACTGCAAACAGCTTGGAGTCAGGTGCTTGGCAGTTGATTGTAGGCCCCAGCTGCATATGTCGCTTGCGCAAACCCTGCAGTGAGGGCGTGTGACATTGAGAAAGTGCCGCATCACTGCAGTTGGCTTGGGACATGAAAAATGCGTCACCATCTTGCCCCTGCCGAAGCCATCTCGCGAGTTTTCGCAACAACACCAGAACATGAGTGGCCGCCATGAGTTTTTGAAGCACCTTCAGATCCAGTAGTCAGTGCCGATCAGGAGCTACCAAGCTGTTTGCAGTCAGCCGATACCTGATCGAGATAGTTTCACTGAAAATTAAAAGATATTAAAAGTGAAAAGGTGAACAAGGTCACAAACGATGGACGGAAATCGGCTCGTCCCTGAGATTTCTGCCACGGACGGCGAGACCCTGTTTGCGGAGGTCCGTCCGAGAGGGTTTTGCTCTCTTACAGTCTTATACAATGTCCGACCGTCGGAAGCATGGCAGCTGCGAGCACTATTGGCCCAAATGCTTCCGTGGCAAGCCTCTACACTTTGCTGACCTATCTAGCCAGGCATGGGCCAGTTTCATCAGAATAAGTAAGTGCACTACACCACCGCCGCCAACAACAACAACAGTGCCAGTGCCAACGCCACCGACAGCAACAAAGCAACAACACCACCAGCACCGCCGAATACGGCAGCACCCCCGCCACCACAACAACACGCCACCACTGCCACCATCACCACCAACAACAACAACAGCAACAACAACAACTAACAACAACAACAACAACCACAACCACAACCACAACCACAACCACAACCACAACAACAACAACAGCAGCAACAACAAACACAACAACAACAACAACTCTGTGCCTCCTGGCATGCGGGCAATCTGCAGCTGGACTGGGCTATGCCATGGAATGCCGCCACCTCTCCTTCGGATGGGCTGCCTACCTCCCTGCCCGCGAGCGCTCTTTAGCAGCCCGGGGGAGGCGTGATTTTGGTGCTGCATGCCAAGACCTCTGGTGCCTGTGCATCCTGCCGTACAGCAGAGCTCTGGACAGCCTAGCGCGACGAAATACTACACCGCTTGGCGACCTGGCTGCTTTTGGCTGGCACAAGGAATCACAGGGACTGCATGGAGATGACCTCCCACAAGAATTGGATGCTGCATGGTTCTTTCTGCTCTGGAAGCTGCATGGCTTGTTTCTGCCCTACACGATCTAGGGGCTTGATGCCTGGAACTGCTGGTGCTGGGACAGCTCATGCACAGAATTGGGCTCTGCATGCCACTGAGATTTTCCACATGGAATTTGGATGCTGCATGCCACTGCGAGTTACAGCATGGATACATGGAATTTGGATACTGCATGCTATTTGGAAATCTGGGTTGTGGAAGCTCTCCCTCAGCTGGGGTCAGGAATTTGGTGCCAATGCTTTTGAATTTGGGAATTTACTTGCATGCCACACTGCATGCTCGGAGTGGAATCGGTCTTCTCTGCCTTTCTCATGTGGTGTGCAATCGCTGCGAACTGGAGATGGATGGACAGAGATGTGCTTGTCTTCCTTTGTGTTGTGCGAAGTGGAAACAAGGGGAGTTCTTCGCTCTTTCATGATCGCGAGTGGACATCGAGGAAGAGGGACCTGAGTGAGAGGGGTTGAAGTGCCCAACAATTGTGCTATTCTTTTGTTTGTGGAACGATGCCTGCATGTTTTTGTGAATCGTCTCTCAGAGCGCAGAGACGGTGCCTTGATGGCCCCAAGTCCCGAGAAGATCAAAGGTTGTCTACTGGGACCACAATCCGTGCTGAAAGCATGTTGAACACACTTCTTTTTGCCAGTAACAGACCCTGCATCGTAGGTTCGTCCTAGCCAGGCGGGAGGCAAAAACAACAACAACAAGAACAAGAACAAGAACAAGAACAAGAACAACAACAACAACAGCAGGTGCGACAACGACAACAACAACAGCAACAGCAACGAAAGCAGCAGCAACAACAACAAAATCAACAGCAACATGAACGACCACAGCAGCAAGAATAGCATCAACAACGTCATCAACAATCACAGCAACAATAGCACGAACACCAACATCAAGCAATAATGAACAACAGCGGACAACTACTACAACAACTGCGACAACCCCGGCACCCGCAGCAACAACAAGACACCAGCAACAGCAGCAACAACAAACAACAACAGCAACATCAACCACCACCACCACCACCACATAATTACTGGTACCACCACCAACAACACCAGCACCAGCACCAACAACAACAACAAGGTCACGCCACCGTCACGGATCCCAGGTTTGTTTGGGGTTTGGACCTCGAAAACGCCGCTCGCACCGACAAAGTTGGACTTGGCGGGGGTGGGGG